GGCCTATTGTTTGCAGGGATGATGAGGTGTTGTGCAGCGCAGGGATTTGGCCTGTGGATTCTCATTAGTTTGGGGGAGCTTTTTTTTATGTTGGGGGGGTGGTGGTGGGGGTGCTCCTCTTTTTACACTCACTGGACTGGCTGGTGCTCCAGGCAGTTGCCATGGAAACAACTGCGGCAGCCCTTGTGTCTCTGTGTCCCCCTGTCAACTGTGTGTGTGTGTGTGTGTGTTTGTGTGTGTGTGTAATACCTTGAACAAGACTGAAGAGTTTTCCTTTAAATGCATGTTTCTCTAAGTGTGTCTGTGTCTCCTGCAGGTGGCAGCCCTCCAGAGGCAGGTGTTTGATTTCCTGGGCTACCAGTGGGCCCCCATCCTCGCCAACTTCCTGCACATCATGGCCGTCATCCTGGGCATGTTTGGCACTGTGCAGTTTCGATTCAGATACCTCATTTTTGTGAGTGGCATCTATCCATCGGTTCTGTTAACAAAATACCTCATGAACCACGTGGCAAACTTTGATGAAACTCAGACATTAATACAACACAAACATGGCTGTAACTCAGTTAATTTAGGCGATGCTAAGCTAGTATTTGGTGTGGTAGTAGCTGAGTCATTTACGACACACTCAGAGCTCCTAATGTGTTTTTTGTGTTTGGCAGTATGCAGTATGGCTGGTCCTTTGGGTGGGATGGAACTCCTTYGTCATTTGTTTCTACCTGGAAGTGGGAAACTTGTCTCAGGTGAGTCATGGCACCCGCTTTGGATGTTATCATCCATTAAATGGACGTTATTAGTCGTTATCAGTCCCATAGAATGGCTTCAGACTGTCAGCTGGTTAGTATGAGGCATAAAGCCACTAAGGTTTTTTATGCAATCTGGTTAATAAGAGGCATAAAGCCACTAAGGTTAATTTTAGAGAAAATGACCTGGGCTACGATAAAGTACACTGGACTCCGGCGGTAGCAGATTGTTGCATTCCAACGTATATGGCACTGGTAACCCACTAGGGGGCACTAGTCGGGACAGTAAAGCCATTCAATGGGACTGATAACTGCTAATAACGTCCATTTAATGGACTGATAACGTCCAAACCGGCTGGTCGTGGACTTGGTTTAAARCCGGGACTGACTGACGACGTGAAACCAATCCTTGCTCTGTGTGTTCAGAACAGAGACTTCCTCATGACGTTCAACACGTCCCTCCATCGCTCGTGGTGGATGGAGCACGGTCCCGGTTGTCTGGTGACGCCGGTGCTAGAGTCCCGGCTGGCTCCCGATGACCACCACGTCATCAACGTGTCYGGGTGCCTCCTGGACTACCCGTACATCGAGGTTCTGAGTTCAGCCGTTCAGATCCTCCTGGCCGTACGTATTACTTCCTCTTATTTCCAGAAAGTTTAATGAATGATCAGCTCCTCACGAGGTTTCATTTCCTCCGACAGCTCTTCGGCTTCGTGTAYGCCTGCTACGTAAGCAAAGTCTTCCAGGACGACGAGGACAGCTGTGAGTGCCGATCGTCAGTTCATTCAGTGACGGAGCTTGTTGTGCTGAAGATGTGTGTTGCTTTGTGTGTGTGAGGGATGTTATCTTATTGCATGAGTCATGCTTGGCGGTACAGCCGTGCAGAGGATTCCCTCTGGGGGAGSTGAGCTCTCCATCTGTGAGGAGTATTATGTGTGCTGGAAGATTCCCACCGTGTCCGTCCGTCTGTGCCATCTGTGTGTCTGACGTGCCTCTCTGCAGGCCTTTACTCTCATTCATGAAGTTTACTTTTGTCTGCGATGTCTGCATAGTTTTATTGTAAGACCGTCCATTGCAGTGGAAGGGATATTGATATACWGTATGGCAGAACTTTCATAATAATTTATAATAATTAGGGACATTTTAAGTCAAGGAAAGTAACTTACTGCTRTTTTTAGAGAAGCACTAATGGTTTCTTTCTGATAGCTCATTGGCTAATGTAGGGTTGCAAACAATTACGGTTGCAATAAATAATTAACGACTAAAATGTTTTTTTCCCCCTTGGGACACTTGTTTTAAAATAAGTAAAATTGTAACATGATGAAAATGCGAGAGCTTTAGCAGAGCACAAGTTTTGGAAAAGTGATGTAAATTTAAAAAAAAAATTTTTAAAGTGCCTGTGACATTCCTTATCGAATACAAAAAAAAAATCAAAGAAAACACATTTTTATATAAGAAACCTTGCATAAAACATGTGATTTAACCCATTTTGTCACATCAGTGGCATATTTTCTTTTGAACGTGGCTCAGCCAMAGTGAAACAGGAAGTGACATCAAAGGGTAACTTTTTAAGAAAGAKAACTCTGTAATCTTTGTTTATTGAAACAATATTATTTGAACTCTGACTCGTCTTCATCTCTCTGATAGAGACTCAAAATAATTAAAGAAACATCAGATTCTTCTCTACAGTCTGTGTCATTAGTTATTTTATCAGTGCTTTGKTCCATGCAGACATTCCCCTTTGACATCACTTCCACATGTAAATATCTCAACAACTGTTCATCTCCGCAGCRGGAAATTATTTTTGCAATATGTTAACATTGTTATCTTTCCAATAATGCCTTTATATTTATTTAAAGATTTTCATGTCACAAGCACTTTAAGGCATGCCGTTTGTTGTGATGGCTTCAGAGCGACTCATCTAGAATCTGATCTGACATTATAAAAAAAATTAAAAGTTCCATTTTCTGTCCTTTTTCTTTTCTTTTTTYCTTTCAAAGTTGATTTCATCGGTGGGTTCGACTCRTACGGCTACCAGCCGCCTCAGAAGTCCTCTCATCTGCAGCTACAGCCTCTTTACACGTGAGTCACAAACWTGTTTTATTGTTTGTTTGTTTTTWAAATCTTTTTAGGCTCAACMTAATGCTGAATGTTGTCTCTCCACTTGTTTCCCACTGTGATTCTTCAAAAACTAGAGACTCTTGACAGACGTTGTTTTTTATTATTCAAGCACTCTTACACTTATTTCCTTTCTAAGTACCTTTCAGCCTCGGCAACATTTTGAAGGTTGAACATCTTATCCTCAGAATGTTTCTATTAATAAAATGCTGAGACGAAAAGTCCAAGAAAAGCAGCTTTCAGGCATCTTAATTGGTCGATTTATAGTTAGTAATGCTGAACCTTATATTTATGTTGGATTTTTAGTTATATTTACTTGGTTTCCTGTATTGAAGTCTGGGGTRAAGCATGTAAAACGATCACAAATCCTATTTTCATTTTACAGAAAAGAGCCATAAGAATTATCACCAGAAAACATTACAGTCACCCTTCGAATATATTATTTTGTAAATTAAAACTATTAAAATTTTATGATTTGGTTGATTATAATATTTTGCAGATTATGTATAAGGCTCATAAAATATTTTACCTTTAAACATCCAGTTATATTTTAAGAGAGAAAGTTCTTATAGTCGTAAAGGACTTGAGATGTTTATTAAACCTAAAATTTGAACAAACTTGAAGGACCGATGTTCAGTTCAAGGAATAAGATTGTGGAAGCGATTATAAAAATGCTGGTTCAATGTATTTCTTTAAGAGAATGACAAAAATAAGTTTGTTAAAGAAATATGAAATTGTATAATGTATATCAAAAGTTGTTTGAGAAAGAATTGAAG